ACGTCCAGATTCAACATAATTACCACACGGACCTGCCACAGATTGCTTATTGTTCGCCGTCGATTTGACTTTTTTCTTCCGGAGGGAGAGGGGCAAGGAGAGGGGAGAAGGTTCATCCCCTCACTGGCAAGGGATTAACGTTGCACGCGGGTGATGCACGAGTTATTGTACCTTCACGGACGTCAACGTCGACGAGCGACGTTGACGTCCGTGTGGGCTCTCTCTTGAATCGTTTCACCGCGTCGAATGATTTTATTCGTCGCAGAGCACGGTAAAAGTGCACTCGCAAAGTAGCCAGGCACGTTTTCAACCCCCTGCGGTGAATAATCTCGAGAAACGGATCCAACGAATGTTAAATACTTTGTTTTTATTTTAGTCGATTGCTCTCGGCGTTCGATCGATAATAACTCGTAATTTGTGTAATCTGTGATGATTTGTGACGCTAGCAAGAATATAATTTATGAAAAATATAATTCTTTACAGTATTCATTAGCGATATTATTAAATTACTGTCAATTTAATTTGTAATATTACATATTCCAGCTCAGTTTAGGATTGTATTTCAAGATCGATAAATAATAAATTGTACAATTTATACAAAATTATTACTAGACAGCAAGACTCGCTTTGAATCCAAATATGGACTTTTTCACTTACTTGTATTTAACATTTTTATTTACTATTATAATTTATGAATTATGAATATCAAAGGCTGCTCGAGATTTTTGAGAAAATAAGAAGAACAGATTCGTAAATAATGTCGAATTTCGGCTTCATTTCGCCAGAATTCATTTCGACATGATAAAAAGCAAGATATTGTACATTATTACACTTTTATATAATTAACTCTATGCAGTGTTATAAAACGTTATATACTTGTTCTGCCAGAAAAAGTGGGCGCTTTTATTTCAGTGCAGCAAAACATTCGCGCGAGACAGAAGATAACCGCAATACGGCATGGCATAACTAATTTTTCGCATTTCTACGCTTTGTGTCTGCTTCCACTGTTAAAGCGGGAATTTAATAACCCCGCTGCAGAAATTTTTATGCACCGCAGTTACTTCGCTATTAAAACAGGAGTAATTAGCACTTGTTCCGCGTACTACGGAAAAATTCGAGATAAGGGAACAGAGAAATTTGCAGAGATTCACGTTCTTCCGTTTCTGACGCATAAAGATATTCCGCGGAAAATAGCCAACTTTAATAATCCTAAAATACTTGTTAACAAAAAATTAAAACCAGATATAATTATGTAATGTAATGAGAAAGAGAGGAAAGAATTGTAGAAAAACACGTGAAAAATAAAGACTTGCATGTATTAGTTTTTAAATTTCATAATATTTTCATACACTTATAAAAACTTATTTTAAACTATAGAAAACTTGACATAAAATCATTATATGTATCATAATAATATAAAAACCGGAAAATCTATTTTACAGCTTCCTCTCCTAAAAGTAAAATTTTACTTTAAATCTTTATACTCACATATTACATTCATCGTTTTTTATTAAAGCGCCTTCGAGCTGACCGTGGCTCCTGAACGATCAATGTTATTACACAATATTTGAAATATTACGTAATCACTGATCGTCTGAAGGCTATATTAAAATTGTTTTAAATTTTCTAAAGAGAATATCAATATTGTACAATAATATTACTCATCTAGAGGTCATTTAATCTAAAAAAATAAAAGAGTTATAACATCTAAAAATAAAAATTTTAAGTGTAGTTTTATCTTTAAAACTAAAAAATAGATTTTTCGTTTTATATCACTATATGTAATAATTTTTACATTGCTTTTATATCAGTACAATGTATATCTAATAATGTCATGTCACTTTTGCCGTACAACGAACAATGCGAGAGTAAAGATTTAGACGCAAGGAATGAATATCACATGAAGAGAAGTCACGTTTCGAGAAAAGAATCGACCAAAAGATGAGACACGCGCGACCGAGAAGATCGGAATCCTGCATTTTTTTTTCGAGGGAACCGACGCGAAAACGCAACGGTGCACTTGCCTGATCGAGACCCGGTAATTATGCAACGGCATCGGCATGCGCATGGTATAAAGAGAGACGGCCGCGGATAACAAGGGATTCTCTGCCCGGAGCATCGAAGGTAACGAGAGCGAGGATTGATGTCCCGTTCTGCAGGCTTGGTGCGCGCGATGCGCACACATCGAGAGAATTATTACGAGAGGTGTTCGCCATTAGAATAAACCACCCGGCGTTATCCGCGGTGTACGCATCGGGGAAAAAGAGAGACGTCCCGTCGTTAAGACGACGAGCTGATGATCGAAGGGTCTTATTTTGCGCGAGAATAGGAATTTTCTTGCTCGTCCGATCTTCTCGCTTCGTCCCGTTTAAAATTAATTCGTAAAATGTACCGCGGCTCAAATTGCACGCTATCATTACGCATATCGCGCGAATCGATCTTAGGCGACGCTAGAGTTTCATGACTTAATAAGAACCTGCTAATCCGAGACAAAACTGTTTACTCTTACAATGTAAAAACGGGAGGCTTTTCGCACCCGAGTTTTCAAAATAAATTTTGAAAGAGATTTAACGAAATTTCATTTTTAACCAAAAATCTTGTAGATCTAAGGAACTATACTTGTTCTGCCAGAAAAAGTGGGCGCTTTTATTTCATGATTTAATTAGAATTCCAGATCGTTCATTTTCCACCAGAATTTCAGTTAATTCAACCAAATATTTTTTTCCGTATGTAAATTTTCATGTCTTCGTATAGGCGACAGTAATAAAGATAAATATAAAGAAATTTTATTTTTTCCAATTCTTTATTTTTATAACTTCTGATTTATTTAATTTTTTATTTTTTATTTCTGATCTATCTAGAATTTTTATTATTAATGTAACTTTTAAATAAACTTCTAATTTTTCCGAAAAATTTTCTACTATTCTACTACACTGAGAAAAAAGTTGTTAACTTGACTACATGCGTTTAGTTCGTAGTGATTATTTAATTCAAATATTTATATACTTAGGCTAACAAAATCTTGTTTTAAAACATATTAATTGTTTAATTTAACAAATTATTAACTTATTTGAATTAATAAATATTTGCTTGATTCAATTAAATACAGCCTGTGACCGCTGTATTTAATTGAATCAACTAATTTTTTTGAAATAGCAACCTTTTTTCTCAGTGTAGTCATTTATTACTGTATATTTATATTTATCTGATTTTATTTGCGAACGAGCGGCTTTTTTCTTCAAGTGAGTTTTTAAAATAAATTTTGAAAGAGTTTTAATGTATCTTTTCCCAACTCTTTAATAACTTGTGATCTGTTTAGTTTTCTTATACTTTTTTTATTTCTGATTTTTTTAAAGCTTGTTCTTCTTGTAACATAAATAAAACTTCTAAATTTTCCAGAAACTTTTTACTATCTTCTGCTGCTTACTTGATATGTGTACATTTATCTGACTTTATTTTGATAGTAATCCATACTCATAAAGATTAAGAGATAGTAACTACTGTAAACGTTTCATCGTCTAATCGTTACCTTCAACAGCGCTTATAAATTCATCAATGCCACCTGTATGTTCTAACGACCGAGTATCTCCCGTTTTGCATACCGGCGCCTAATTATATCGTAACTCACTCGCGTGCAGCGAGTTACTCTCGATGTATCTTCCGCGAGCGCACTTCATATTTTGCACACAGAAAGCGCGCTTTCAAGCGGGTATCTCAGGCTTGCGTGTTATTCAAATGTAGAGCTCGATGCCACACAGGATGTCCGGCTCGAATGTATATTTTCAACGTGAGTATCTTGAATAATTTATAATATCTGACCTCTTATCTTCGAAAAATTTAATGTTATTGGATTCTTCGAATTTGGTTTTAAAAATCTTCGACACGCATTGATCGTCGAATGTTTTCAAGGCAGCTAAATTTTAGTGCAATTTACTTTTCGTCTTTTTCTAATTTTAATAATTAAACAGACGAGTAAGTTGAACCGAGATTGAAGTTAATGAAAACGAGCATAAAATATTCAAAGACGAATAAATAGATATCTGAATTTGAGATTCTCTCTCCAAAATCTGAAAGATTCGAATCTCCGTATTTTTAATCACATATGCAATTTCCTTACATTTTTGCTGATACTTTGCTGACCTTTGTACTTTCTAATTCTGGCATGATCGAGTTAGAGAAATAAGTCTCGACATGCTGAATTCACACCAATTAAAAGCTCAACACATGAGTCATGCCCGTTTAAATTGTACATTCAGGTAGAACTTTTTGCCATCATGTACCTACTTCATCATATTATTATTAAAAATTTAATACGCATATTTTTTGCGTACATGTTGAATTGTACACCCAGAGAAAAGATTACTTCGATTTAAAGAAATATTTCTTTGCTATATGGCTAAAGAAAAAATTTCTTTCATTTAAACATTATTTTTTAAAATCAAATAAAATTTATTCGATTTAAAGAAATTATGTTCAAATCCAAGAAATGACGTTCAAATCATGATTTCAGATATTTATCCGTCTTTGAATATCTTATACCCGTTTTCATTAACTTCAATCTCGGTTCAACTTATTCGTCTTTTATTAATTATTAGAATTAGAAAAAGATGAAGAGTAAGTTGCACTAAAGTTTAGCTATCTTGAAAACATTCAACGATCAATGCATGTCAAAGATTTTTAAAGTCAAATTCGAAGAATAACATTAAACTTTTCAAATCATGATTTGAAGTCATTTCTTGGATTTGAACATAATTTCTTTAAAAATCAAATAAATTTTATTTAATTTAAAAAAATAATATTTAAATCAAAGAAATTTTTTCACAAATCAAAGAAATTGTTTTTTTAATTGAAATTGTTTCGTATAGCAAAGAAACATTTCTTTAATCAGTCGAAGCAACCTTTTCTCTGGATGTATTATTTCTGTACCACGCTTAGAAATGAAGAAATGAAAATTTATACGAGTGTAAATAAATTCGAATAAGAATAATAGCACTACTTACCCGAAATCCAGCCTAATCACGGTGGATCGCCGGCGACCTCGTCGATGCGGAAATCCGGGAAAGATGCACGGCGGCGGCGGGTCATCTTTCGATTTTCGTAAACGGTCCATTTGCTCCGAGGCTCAGGCCATCCTGTAGACGAAACATGAAGTCATTAACAGGACAAGTAGTACAGACAGCGTAAGAAAGACGCCACGCAACAAATCACGATGTAAGGGCGAGAGGCAAAACGAACGGAAGGGACAAGACGAGAGTCGACTTGATCGCCTTAACTTTCAGAAGGCTAAGCTTCCAGTTTCTTTTTTTCTCATCCAAACGACGCGACCAAGCTTTAATGCGCCATCCGTCGTCACGCTGGCGCTTATTAGATTCGCTCTGAATTCCTCTTAAAGCTTCACGACATGTCTGGAAACACTAACAGCTCAGAGAGCCGACGGTTCAGTAATTATTTCAACACCGACGCGTGTCGCAAATGTGTGTGCATGTATGACGACGACGTAAAAAATTAGGGCAAGCACATTCAATACGTTCTCTTCTACTGACTGTAATAATGTAGCCACTTTGTGGGACATTATAATTAAAGCGTGAGATAAATTGATTTCAAATAAACGACCTATCAATTATATTCTCTTTCTTCTATATGTAATTTAATGCAATTATTTTATATTCAAAGCTAGTTAGAAAAGTTATCTAGTTAATCAAAATCAATGATTTCTGCAGCAAATCAAATGTGGTAATTATTTATAATCACGTTATGTTAGAAAGCTAATAGATAACGATAATTAATTCAGAAATTGCATTACTGTCAAGAATTATTCTCAATATAGATGAACGTTATCTACATTTAGAAGTTAAATCGAGTAAGTAAATAATTTTATTTTTAATTTGTACAATGTTCAACGGTATCGATAACCACATCAAATTTCAGCGAAGCCGGAGTAACTATCGCGCAATATCGTCATTTCCTCTTATATACGATAATACGCAATTTTAAAATGTGTTCTACTAACAAGGAACCGTCGGAACTAATTGATTTTGTTGGGCTTTGGGTAAAGAATAAAATATTGAACCTATATGTATATTTTTATATGCATATCGCAAAGTTTAGACATCACGCAATCCATCAAAATAACGGATTTTTTTATTTTCGAAAAATGTAAATACACTAAAAGTATAAAATACCATAAAATTTTATAGAAAACATTTTTTATATACCTCATAGTTTTCAAGATATTCGTTGAAGATAAAAAAAATCCGTTATTTTCATGGATTCTTTCTATCCTTAAACCTTAAAATAAGCAGACAAAAAAAATATGAGTATAATATTTTTTTATGTTCCATAATATACATATCTAAAGTTCATCAAAATGAGTAAGAAACAATTCCGACGATTTCCTTGTAAATTCTTAAGGAAATTCACGGAAAAAAACGGTTTTGTTTAAAATATCTAAAAATTTAGCAATACAGATCTAAAAATAACTTTGACGCTCCAAACTTCAAAATAATTATATAAAACTCTTAAACTGATTGCTAGAATATCAAAACTTTTTGCAGTACTCATCATGCTTAAAATTATTACTACATAATTATTTTGAATGCAACAAAATTATTTTCGGATCTATATCTTACAGTTAAATTGTTAAATACTTCAGCAAAATCGTTCTTTCCATACACATAACAGTTATGGAACGCACATTATTATAATATCAAAATGGATATCACTTGCAGACGCACTTCCAATCAATTTAAATGCTTTGCGATACTCTCAGTTCTATTTTAGCTAACAATTCTGTTTTAACCAGACATCGGGAAAACTGTGATTACATGCACGATTTGCGAGTAGAGCACTCGCAGACGAATTGGTCGGATAAGAATTGTAATGGCACAATTTACAGTGTTGATGTATTAAGTCCCTATCTGTTGGATGTAAAGAAGATCTATGTTGCGTTTTAGTCGCAAGACAACGTGTGAGGATCTGTTGTATGAACAGCTGCGAGGAATATTTGAGTGCGCAGAGAAAAGCCCTATGATAAATTACAGGAAAACTCGATGGTAAATTTGTCCCAACTCTCCTCGTTGCTTTTTCCGACGCGTTTGATATCTTTGACTTTTTGTCCACCATAACAACCTTTAAACGAGTAAACACATTCAAAAATGTATACGCAAGCGTTATGTCGCACCGAAAAATAAAATTATGTATGTCATACGTAGAATATTTAAAAAGTAACCGACTACATTTATTTGTCTACTCTATTTATCATTTATTTAATTGTTCTTTTCTAGCATTGAAAATATCCTGATAATTAATCTAATATCTTATATATAATTTTAATGTGTCACGTAATTATTAAAAAAAAAACGTTTGTCATGAACGATAATTAATATTTCTTACGTAGTATAGTATCCATGAACAAACGATATTTTTCATCAGTATATATCAATATTAATTTTTAAATACAAAATGTAACTTTTCATCATAAGCCAATTTTTGACTAAATTGTTTTTGCACTGTCCATCTTTTCTTTCTCTCTATCATGAGAGAAAAAGACGACGAGATAAATCGCGCAAGAAAAGAACAGGCCTTACATGTATAACTTTAAGTTTTAGAATTCTTATATAGATATGACATTCCTAGAAAATCGATAAGAGGCTTACGTTCAAAAGTAAGTGGAGTATTATTAAACAAAATTTAATATCATTTTGGAGTAGTTGACCGCTCGTGACTCACCGTCGTGCCTGCCTAATCCCACTCGGCAGGAGCGGCAGGTGGATCCTCCGTCTCAGCCCACGTGGCACACATGTCCCGTAACCCTCGCGCAACCCCGCGCGGAAAAAGGAGGGTTGCACGTCGCCGGTCTCGTTCCGAAAGTGCACGCAACCACAACAATTGGTCTCCCTTTCGAAGAGGAGATGAGACAGGAAAGGAACCGCACCACTTTGTTGGACCAACGTGGAGATGTCGAAGGGTTGCGACGCACGAGAGGGAGACGCGAAGATGCGTACGCGCTCGAGAAACGAATCGCGGCTTCCGGCCTCCGCGTGAACTCGGCAGGAAGGACGGCGGGCGTGAGTAGCGCGCACGAACGCCGCCGCGACAGGAGTGATAGTGGCGAAAGTGGGAGACCCTCCGGGAAATATATAGGTCCGCGGGGTGGTGTGGTGGTGGATTACACGAGCGAGAGAAGGGAGAGGAGGTCCGCGCCGCGCACGCATCCCTTTACGCGTGTTATGTTGCGCCGTGTATCTCGCGGGATGTACGCTGTTAAATTCATATTATGTCAAATTATACACAATTTGTTTTTAATTATTTCTAATAGGAGGACCATTAAGAGTTGGCGCAGTAAACAGTACGTAATCACATTTATACAAATTACTTTAATGTATCATAATCAAATTACAATACAAATCACCAACCCCATTTGGTTGATGATAATTTGTATTGTAGTTTGATATATTGAGGTAATTTATATAAATGTAATTGCATTGTTTATTGCGCATTGATTACTAACGGCCCTCTTATTATTGATATTTTTATTTCTTAAAGGATAATAGGAATCCTTTGTGATAATATTATTATTTCAATTTTATTGTTTGATATTTAATTATTTCTATAAGTTATCACTGCTTCTATTCAATATATCGTTAATTTTATTAAACAAATTTAACTAAAAAAAATGTATTAAATTTGACATAAATTTAATTTATTATTTACTGAACTCATACGTTGATATGGACGCCGTTTACTTTGAAACTAATTACAGAAATGAATTGATTTACATTTGGCATATATATATATATAAAAGTAACAAAATATTATTTAATTCAAAAAATTGAATTACTCTTTTAATATCTAACAATAACAATAATTCAGTAATTAACCTTAGACTGTTCATGTTGCCAATCAATCGCTTAATTTATAGATAAAAAAGCAAAATATGTAACGAACATTCTGATTATTTACGAGTATAAATTATGATTATTTACAAACATTTATTGAAAAATATCTTAATATTAGCTTTGAATTGTTATACATTATATTCATAAATCACTCAAATGCTGTTTTTTTTATCAATATTCTGAGCGATAGCGTGAGGAGTGCTTTTCTAATATTTTTCACGATGAGAACAGAAAGAAGTTTGGACTTTATTCGTTATTTTATCAAAAACAAATTTAATTAAATATATTCATAAATTAATTAAATATATTTTCAAACTTTAAATTATTAGTGATTTTATATACTCATTTCAGTTTGAAATTAACCGTTTGAAATGGCGGAAAATAAATTCATAGCTACAGGTCATATTTTAATTACCTTAAAAGCATTTCTTTTGAGAATAATATTACTTTATATCTAGCGCGCAAATTTATTCATTTGGATATGCAATTGTATCGTGACATCTCTCTCTCTCTCTCTCTCTCTCTCTCTCTCTCTCTTCCTTTGTCCTTGTTTTTCTTCTCACATCTCTTCTCAGAAAGTACCAGAAGGGCCATTCAAAACAACCGGAACAGTGCAAACGATTTCAACACAAAAGCAGAAGCGCGCGTTGACTACGCTATCAGCCATTATCGCGCCCATTTTCCTGTTGAATCTCATCTAGATAATCGGAAGCATTGTTTAAAATAGCGTTATCTGCGCGCTAAATACACCGACGGAAATCCCGACGTGCCCCTTTTCCTTTCTCGCCCTTCGCGGCAGGTTCAACGAACTGTAATTGTGGTACGGAGACGCGGCCGTAAAATTCTACCTACGAGATTAGACTTGTGGCTTTTCCTTTATCATCCCGTGGTGGAACGTTGCAGCGCATCACCAGCGACGTTTTATCTCTTCCCGTTTTTCCGTTCACCCTTTTTCGCCCCTCTCTTCTCCTTCGCTCGTCGCGAATCACCCGCGAGTTTTTTACTAGCGCGACGGATCGCACGTAAAATACCGAGACGAATCGCGACGGAGCCGGGAGGACTGTCTTATAACGTGCAAACTGTGCGATACAATGTGATGCAGAACTAATTACGTTGGACGATTAAGCCCGGTAATTAACCCACTGGCAATCAATGTCTACTATATTAGCTTTATACTTGCAATATTTAAACGCACAGTTTTGAGAGAGAGAGAAGTTAGAGTTGAAATTGAAATC